GCGTGCAGGGTCTGCTGGCTGGGTTCTGGCAGGCTTGCACCTGGCACGGGCACCGTAGCCAGCCCTTGCCCCTTTAAGAGGTCCGGGGCCGAGAGGGGGGCATACGAGTTTCCCTGGTGGTGCCCAGAGTGGCCACCAGGGAAACCTGGGGAGGGCTAGCCTCCCACTAGTTTGAATTAAGGGGCTACACAGCCCTTAATTCGAACTAGTAAGTTCGAACTAGGCTTAGTCCTCGTGCAATGAGGTTTACCTAGTTCGAACTAAGCGCTCCGCTAGTTCGAATTAAGTTCGAACTAGCGGAGCGCTAGTGTAGCGCCTATGAAAGTGTAGTGTAGACATACCCTGGGAGAGGGCTGAGAGCAAAGGCCACACTGAGGCAGATACTGCCAATTAGGACACAGGTGGAGGCTCTCTAAATAAGGGCTCCCAGAGGGAGGAAGGGAGAGGCACTTGCTCTAGTGGGGGAGCAGGAAGGACCTGGCTGCTAAGGAAGCTTGGAGGCTTCCCAAGACAGAGCAGTGTTGGGGAGAGGCAGGCAGGGTGGAGGAGCGCTGACCTGACCTCGCTCCCAGGCTACAGGGCCTAAAGTAAGGGCTGAGAGTACTAGGGCTGCATGGGGGCAGCCAGGATAGAAATAGGTCCACACCCCCTTGCCAATGGTGAGTGGCTGTTGCAGACTGCAGTTTGCCCCTGAGGAAGGGTCTAGATGAAGACTGGCAGTGGGTCACTGAGGCAAGGTGGGTATAGGGGAATTGGGGGTTCCCCGGGAGGGGAGGACCCCAGAGTGCAGAGACAGGATTACTGATAAAACACCCACACACACTGGAAGGGGTCTGAGAGTCACTGGAGTGGGCTCTGCTGGAGGACAGTGTCCTGAAGAGGACACTGTGGTCCAGGAGCGACATGGGTCCAGAATGAAGAGTGTGGAGTGAGGACACGGGAAGACACCAACCAGAGGGAGGCACCCTGAGGTCTAATGAGCTAAGACCTAGGACTACTGGCAGGCGGCGCCATAGCGGTGAGTCTGCCCCGTGACACTCCCTTTGAAAAACTTCTGAAATGTTATTTTCCAGGTACCTTGTTCCAGGGCAGATGTCTTCAACAGCAGACAGCTCACTATGGTGGAAAAAAGAATGCTAATGAAATTTTTGACATTTTGTTTGGACTATGAACAACATCCCAATGAATATGAAGGTAGTGCATTTCACTAAAAAGTTACTCAGCTCTGTGTGCATTCAGTTACCTGTAGTTTTGATACTCGTGCACTTTCACTCTATTAACTTTTATTTTTTCTGTTTCAAAGTATGTTTTGATCTTTTCCTGCCCTTTTCACTTCCATATTAAATTCTCATTCTCAAACTCTGTCCTTTATCTCTCTCAATTTCACTTGGTGGGTTTCTTTTTTTCTTTTTTGGGGGTGCAAAGGGGAGATTGAATATTACTGCTGGTTAGCAAAATGTAATAAAATAATTACAGGTTGGACCTCAGCACCCAACCTGGATCCTGGATGAGGGATTTTTCCAGACAAAGGGAGGTCATTTCAGGCTCCCTGCTGCTGGCCCCTCCCCTTCTGTGTTCTCCCCTCACCCCAAACCGGACTTTCTGGCTGTCACTGCAGCCCATCTGAGCTGCATGCTGGCTCCTGCCCTCGCACTTCCCACAACCCAGCTGAGCTGCGTGCTGGCTCCTGCTCCCTGCCCCCACAGCCCAACTGAGCCACACACTGGCTCCTGGCTCCCCCCTCGCAGCCCAATTGAGCCGCATGCCAGTTCCTGCCTCCCCCTTGCAAACCAACTGAGCTGCACCTTCCGGCTCCTGGCTCCTCCCTCACAGTCCAGCTGAGCAGTGCACTGGCTCTTGAGCCCCCACCTCTCCGCAGTATAACAGGACCCTCTGATCCTGAAACATCTGTGGTCATGTTGGACCACAGTTGCTACTGGACTGGAGAATCTTGGATTTTAGAGATTCATCCTATATTTTTTCACTGAGGTAATTGCTATCACAGTATGATACACGTGGTTTCCTTTCTTTTTTGGATAGTGCATACATCTTTTTTTAAATGCCTTTAATAAACTGGCATAAACCACCATACAATAAGTCAGTCTTAAGCTCTAAAAGGATGTTTTAATTCTATATCTGGGGGCAGTTCTGGGAGAGCAAGCAGTGAGTACTCCCCCAACACTGGTGTTACACAGAGAGGAAAACGAAGACCAGATCTCAGTAAAGTTGAATCAGGTGCTTTAGGAAAAGGTGGATAGTAGTCAAAGAAAAGGGAACTGAGCCTAAAGAAAACTATGAACTTTAAGGCTAATTTGGATTGGATTGGATTTTGAGTCTATTGGAAGCTACTGAAGATGTCAAAGGAATGAGAGAATAGTTTGCCTGAGGCATACTGTACCATTTAAAGTTAGGGGCTGATTTAGAAAATCTGTAGAAAATATAATACAGAGATTGAAGAATTCAGGTATCTTAATAGATGACAGAACATGTAAAAGGGCAAAGAAAATATTTGAAGATGTTAGTCACCGCATTGGAATATGTTTAAGGGAGTGTAACTGAATTTGGAGTTGCTTTGGCTGAATAGAACCATTGGGTTGGTGGCAGAAATTATAGCGGCATGATACCAAGTGCGTGCCAGAAGAAAAGAGAATTGGTCAATATAGATAATGAAATGATAAAACCAGCAGAGAGAAGTATGTGATGGACTAGTGATGAACTCTGATAGATCTTGAAGGTAAAAACTCATTAGGCCAAAGTGCTTTATAGATTACAGGCAATTTCAGGTTTGCTACTGGTGGAAGAAATAGAGGTGCTCAGAGAGAGAATATAGGTGATGTTTAGAAAATTTATTAGGTACAAAAAAGGAGACACCACATCAATTTTAGATGCAATTCATTGATTCATATGCTAGCATGACATTAGATTTATTTTACTTCCAGAGATGGTTACAGACTTTGTTACCAGATTTTAAAGCAGTCTTTGGAATAATTGGATATAGTTTTAGCTAAGTTGAACAAATTTGAAAGTCTTCAGAACTTTAAAGCTGTTCCTCTTGAGACTATTACATTCATTGGGGAGGGCATACTTCTAATGGGTAGTGCATGGCAGTGATTTTTTTTAAAAGCCTTTTCTCTAAAATGTAATATGATGTAGGAAGCCTAAAATAGAGAGAGGCTGACACATACTACATTTCTTTTTTTGTCTTTATTTTAAAAAGGTATTTGATCATTTGCTGTATGGCTGTACATAAGTAGTAAATATATTTGTTATAAAATAGTGGCTGAAGCTCATAGAGAAATTATACTTTTGTATTATTATTATTATTATTATTATTATTTATTATCTGATTTATCAGTTTTATAATGTGTTCACTTTTTTTCATTGTATTCCTTTGGTATATATGGTCATGCCAATTCTCTTCCAGAATTTGATCTGAGGAAGTGGGTCTGGCCCACAAAAGCTCATCACCTAATAAACCATCTTGTTAGTCTTTAAAGTGCTGCACATACCTTTCTTTTGTTTCAGCAAGATCAGACTAACACGGCTACATATCTATTTGTAGTATTAGGTGTTGTAGGAAGTGTTTGAATTATATTCCTAAAGTTTGAAATGATGAAAAAAGCCTAAGAGAAAAGATTTCTTAATTAAGAAAGATTTAAGTAGCTGAAATATAGTGAGTGTCATGTAAAAGAAAAAGAAAAAATTATTAACAATAGTAATTGAACTTAGCAAAATATTTAAGTTTCCTATTCTAAACAGGAAAAGTGTTGCAGATAGCTTCTTAGGGTATGTCTACACTACCACCCTCCTTCGAACTAGGGTGGTAATATAGGCAACCGGAGTTGCAAATGAAGCCCGGGATTTGAATTTCCCGGGCTTCATTTGCATAAAGTCGGGTGCCGCCATTTTTAAATGTCCGCTAGTGCGCACTCCGTGCCGCGCGAACTAGGGTGGTAGTGTAGACATACCCTTAAGGACTTGCGTACCTACAAATGCATCAGTAATAATTTAAAAAGGAAAATAAATCCTAATCATCCACTCTTCATTGCCTCGTAAATCCCATGTCCACTCAGTCTTGCTTTAAAAAAAAAAAAAAAGTCAGCCATTTACAATATATTCAATGTATTTTGCATTCAGGATTAAAAAACTGTTTTATGGACTTGTATATTTTAACTACATCCATATAATTAAAGTGTTACAGCACCCCCATCTCCTGATGATCACCTTATCTCCTGATGCAATTATACTGGTTTTAAGATGCCTCATCCCACTTAAGCTTATCTTTTTCCCTTATAAGCTTAAGGCACCTTTATGCTGATGTAATTGTTCATACTATGGATTGTACCAATTTAATTATTTTGGTAAAAAACTGCATCTCTAATAGAAATAGCTAAATGGTACAAAATGCATGTTTAAAATTAATAGAATTACACTGAGTAGATGAAAACATTTTTAGGTATGTCACTACTACTCTGTTCTCCTAAAACCTGTCAAACTAGTGGAGTCACTTCACAGGCAATGGATTTCTGTCTCTCTTAAAAGTTAATTTTTTATGAGATTATTTTTTTAATTCAGAGTCAAACCTGACAGTCCATTTATAATTTTCTTCACTTTGGCTTACCCATTTCGATTGAGACCTATTGGAATATTAAGTTGTCATTACTAAAATGTAATATTTTCTTTTTGTGTTCATCTTTAAAAATATTTAAATGTAAGAATGTTTATTTTCATTGGAATTGTACAATGAGAGACATTTCTGTGTTAAACTGCATCCTTTACATAATTTGTATTTTTTTTGTAACAGATTACAAGGAATATAAATTTTCAGAGTACTTGAAAACCCAGAAGTTAACATCTAACTTGCAGCACTTTATTTTACATTCTATTGCAATGGTATCGGAGGCTGACAGTGGCACCATAGATGGGCTCAAGGCAACAAAAAAATTTCTTCAGTGTCTTGGCCGGTATGGCAATACACCCTTTTTATTTCCTTTGTATGGTCAAGGAGAGATCCCACAATGCTTCTGCAGGTAAGCAGGACTTCTTTTTTTGTTGTAGTAAGTAACAATATTTGATAATCTAATGCTAAATGAATTTTTGTAAACTTGGACAGATTGTATCCCCCCTAAACTGGGGTTGTTTCCAGTGGGCATCATAAGTGATAAGGGAGGAGAGGGTCTCCTGGTGTCTGGCAGCTGCCCCTATTATTAGATTCTCCCTTCCCCCAACCTTCTTTTTCCCAAAGGTGGGAAGTCTATATGCTCAGTTCAAACTTTTCTCACCTTGATTGGAAAAGTGCAAGAACCAAAATGGGTTTCAGCATCAGGTGGCCCTTTCTGGGACTAAACACAGCTTGGGCTTATAGGACAACAAGACTATTCAGAGGTTGTTGGTTTGAGTACTGAGCCATTAAGATTCCTGTCTCTTCCTGCCCAGCCCATACCCACAGCCTCCTCTTCCACCCCCTTCCACACCCTGCACTCGTATCTTCAGCTTGCTCCTGCACCCTCCCTCCCGGACCCTGCGCCCTACCTTCTGCCCATATTCCACATCCCCACTCCAGCCCACTCCTTGGCAGCCCCACTCTCGCGCACTCTGAATCCCTCATTTTTGGCCCCACTCCAGAGTCTGAGGTGGGGTGCTCAAAATCTGTTAGCCCCCGTCTCCCTTGGCTCTGGGGTGGAACTTGAGGGAAGTAAGGTGAAGGTCTTTTTTTCTGCTTCTTAGTTGGGGGCCACCACTGTGATGTTTCTCCTCCCCCCCCCCTCATTTGAGGGGTTGGTCAGTGAGGGTGAGGTGTATGGGTTTTTTTTTTCCCCAGATAGTTTTTTCTGTGATTCAGTGGCTCCCCAACCCAAAAAAGGTACCCCTCCCTTGCTTTAGCTCGTTTTCTGTCTATTTAGGTAAAAGGTCCCAAACACAATATGCTGATCTTGCCTTAACTCAACATATAAAATGTAAATCCCTTGCATTCTGGCCAGAACATACTCTAATATAAACCTATAGATCTATTGTAGCCTACTATAATACAACAAATAATCAAACCCATATGAAAATAAGAAACCCAAAAGGAAAGATAGAGGCAAACAAGCAGACTAGCCCAATAGGTAGGGCATACCAATTTCACAGCTGTGGAAAACATGTTACAATCGGGAAAATTAGCCCTGCCCTGTGTAACCTGATTATCCTGAAATCTGATGGGCTGGCGAGAGACAGGGCTTCTCCTTCCCCTACTTGTATTTTATTGGAAGCAGATCAGACACACCTCCATGTGCAGCACAGAAGAGAGGCCACTTGTGTGCTGCAGCAGCCCCAGAGCTTGGCTTTGGGTTCCTGCCCAGATAAGGGGCACTGGGGCTGGGGATTGCTGCTGCTGCCTACAGCTTTCATGGTGACTCTGGACTGCTGCTGCCCTCTCCTCCCATCCCCGTTCCTGCTAGGGCTGGGTGCTCTCCCCCAGGCTTCAGCCAGGGCTTGAGGCTGCCACCTCACATCCCCTGCAATGTTTGCAGGAGCGCTCAAGCTCTGGAACTTCTGCTTCCTGCCCCCGTTCATGGCTCCTGCTTGGGGCTTAGGATGCTGGAGA